CGTTGATGAACGCCGCTACTGTATCCCATCTGCAAAAGCATACTGATGATTCGAAAGCAATAACTTAATAAATACCTAGATTGGGTTCCCGGCGGAAATACAGTCATAGCTTTAATGAGGAGACGGCTCTCATCGAGAGTCCATGGGACCTTGCTGGCTTTGCTATTGCCTTTAGAATCTGACTTTTGGTTCGCAACTAGCACTTCGGCTCTTTCCTGGTCTAAGCGATCGCTCACTTTCGAGACGCACTGTGTAAAAGCATCGTAGGCGATATTTGTCGGCTGGTCTTTCAGACGGTCGTTCAATTCTTTTAGTTCGTCGTATACAAGGAGATGACACAATCGATCTGAATCATTCAACACTTCCAGTTTGTTTGCCCCCACAACACTGAAGTAATCATTTGTCTAAAACTTTTGCATATAATGAGTTTGTCACGAGTCTGTCTCGCTCTACCTTTAAAATGTCTTGAAAACATTTACGTTCCTTCTGAAGCATTTTCTTTCGATATTCGCGTTCTCTCTTTTCAGATATCATCTGAAAAATATACCACATGAACAAATAAAAAAATCGAAACGCAGGTTGATGTGCTCTTTAGCTAACTGAAATGTCTAAGTTGTAACCCTTCCCAAAAGTAATCATGTGTAAATTACGGTCAAGCGTGAAACGCTTTAAAGATTTCAGCTATTCCACGGCAGTTGACAACTTACTTATACAACGTAGACGAAAAGGGTTTTGAAAAAGGCACATAAAATCTGTTAATTCTCTTTTTTTCAACATTTGATAAAAGTCCGTTTTAAAGGAAATTCTTAAAACTAGCTTTAATTACCAAGAAGCTCAGAAAGAACAAAGGAGATTTTAGACCAATAAATACTTATACCATTGCTGAACATACTTTGCAAATACTGGGATCGAGAGGTATGGGTACGGGTGATTTCTCCAAGAATCCCACCTTCATATGCGGTTGTGTCTGTAGATTCTTACCTTTTCTTTTAGCATCTGTTCTTCTCTTTCTTTCTCCACGCGAACCCTCTCTTGTGCTGCTTCCTCAGCCTGTTTCTCTTCTTTAATTTTCTTCTCCCTCGCTTCATCCCGTTTTTGTTTCTCTTCGGCCTTTCTCTGTCTTGCCTCATCTTTAAACTTTTTCACCCTAGGGTCGCACCGATACGCATTGTCTGCAAAAATATCATATAAATAAAAAAGATGTGCTATGATAGATTTATGGCTACCTATCGTAGAAATGGCATTCTATATACGGCGAAAGGACTCAACAACGATTCTCAGACTGAAAAATCTTCATTGGAAATAGTCTAGAAAATGAGACCAAGAAGATTCGTACTGATGTCTTATGAATTTTAACCATGAAGGCTGTTCGGAACAAAAATGTTTGCACGCCAGCAGGAAAATTAGTGGCTCAAATACCGGATACCACGTCGATTACCATATACGGAATCTTTACTTGTACAAAATGCTTTAAGTTTCCTGTTTTACTTCCACTGTCATTCTTTTTCATTCAATCTAGACTGTTGCTGTTGTTGGCATTATAATCTGAGGTAACAACGGCAGCGCCCATATTAATGTCTGACGCTTTCCGCTATTCAATCTAGACTGTCAACCTGCTGAAATTCTGAGAAATTTCCGGTGGTCTTACTTAACATGCTTAAGCAAATATTTCAAATTCCGTAAGCTATTTTGTACTCATCGTGCTTGGTATTCATTCCTATATCTCGTTTCAAAGATACCTTCACTTTTCAGAGAGATGCCCTAAACTCAACAAAGAAAAAATTGCACAAATAAAGCACCAACCAACGAGAGTTCTAATGCGCTTCAGCTCTTCCTTCCTTCTTTTTTCTCTGGCCGCCCGATTTTGCTTTTCGATCCAACGTCTCTCGTCCCTACTACAACAAATCATTGGTTTAAAAATCTGGAGAAAAACAAAGTGGTCTTAAAGTGATATATATATCATAAATTTGAACGTATATATATAACCAATTTAACCTTAAAATGGTGCGAAAGCGAGGGAACCGATGTCAGTAAATTTCTTCATACCTTAATTCAATGATTGAAGCGTTATTTTAAGGCCATTTTCTATATCTATTTTAGAAAAGAGCAAGTTAAAGAATTTCCCGTCTTCTATCTAATTCAGCACTAAGGTTTTAACGGCAGGCGATTGATCTAGAAATGATATCGCTGTAGCGTGTAAAGCAAAGGAACAAATTTGCGTCGTCCGGTTAAATAAAGTTTTCATACAAAACTAATTCGGAAGTGAAAAGAGAAGACCCCCTTTCATGTTCAGAATAATGTAAAAATTCAGAGGGCACAACAGCTTTATCTTGGAATGTTTTTTTTGTGGTCAATAATTTGGGTCTTTTCCACTAGCAAGTATCTCTGATATGTGACATCAACCACATCCTCAAGTTTTACGCCAGTACTAGAATCGCAAAAAGAATAATTCTTTCCTGATCGCAAAACTGTCTCAATCTTCATTCACGTTGGATGCTGATCTTCTGGCCGATATCTGCTATGTACCGGTCCGCACAATAATGACGACTGAAAATTTTTCCTTATGAACGATAATTCTGCCCTTTTTCGCTAATTTTCACTTGTGTTCTAACTGAAATGCTGGATGGTAAAACTAGTCTATCATAATCATTTTTACATTAACGAAAGACGACTGGCTTCCACAAAATTCATACCAACCAAAGATATTATGAAAACAGATCTTTCTGATATTATGAAAACAGATCTTTCTGATATAGAAATGTCCTTTCTTCACTTCTCTGCAGAAAAGAGGAGAAACCGCTAAAATTTCTTCAAACCCTTTAAGTGATACTACTCTGAAATTAAACTTAATAAAAAGCATGTCTTCGAAAGTTTTTCCGTCGTGGAGTAATTAAAAATTTACATTTCTCATGCAGCTTCACGACGATGGTTTTCGAAAGTTTAAAGGACAATGTTTCGACCGACAAAAGTCATTGTTAGATAAGTGAAACAAAATCTTTTATAAACATTTTCCTGGTTTATTTATTAAATTACTTTAGTAACATAACGCTTACGCGCCTACATAATAATCATACAGCATGAATTCCGATTAAATTAAAAACAGGTAAATTTATTACTTTTCTGCCTTTTCCTTGTCTTCTTCGTCCAAATATGAAAATTCTCGCCAGGAATTGAAATCATACCAAAATCGATAGAAATTGTTCACTTCTGTCGTTGATGAATGTTCGTCTCCAAGTTGAGGCACAGGTTGAATATTCGACCACCTGATATCGATCGTTAACTATCAAGAAAAAAAATAAACACTAACCTAGCATTGCGTTCGAAAGCTTTCGAGAAAATGGAGAAGAATTCTTCACTGGACAATGAAGCCGAAGGCACTGAGTCGTCAAAAGTGCTGTCGACACTATCATATGCACGCCTTTTCGCTGGAGAGCTAAGAATTTCATAAGCTAAAAATAACATAGGTTATCTAAGCCATGCTATTTAAGCGGCGTGATAACATACATGCTAGGAATAACAAGTAAAAAAAAAGAAAAGCAGCGAATGGGTAAGTGCATAAGAGTTTGCGATATCACTGCCAATGCGATGATGTCAAAGTGCCAACATTAAGGATATGTTGCAAGAAGAACCATCCATCGTTGGACTAAAGAGACATACCGGGTTCCAAGACAACTAAACAGCCTGTGGGAAGACCTCCACATCCATCACGCGAAAAGTATAAGAAATTTGTAGGAGGCAAGTGGACAAGAATGTCAGAAGACCGCCTTTACGATCAAAATCTTGCAGATGCCTTCAGCAGTTCGAAAAAAGTTATGATAATCGTAGCTATTGCTTGATCGCTTAACAGCATCTATTTTAGGATAAATCTGAATTAGAGACACTATGCATCTGAACTAAAATAAGTGTTAAGTCGAATTAAAAAATATTTGTTTCTATCCTTCTCTCAGATAGTGACCAAATTTAATTGCTGAATCAAATAATTGCTAAAGCTGGGAGACTAAGCTGAAGAAATAACTCGTGTTTCAAAAGAAGTGGCAGAACTACACACTCCATCCTGTGATGGTTTCATTTAGTTACTAAAAGGAATGCGATTAGCGTTTTCATTTTACATAGGCGAAGCAAAGACTTTCGCACTGGTTCGTACAAGGATAAGTTTTGATGTATACATGCGTGGCCATTGATGATGAATGATTAACCAAGAAACTTGAAGAATAGAGCAAACACTAACGCTTCAAGAAAAATCATTAGCTTAAACGTAAATTATGATGTGAGACAATGTGAAAATAAAATCTTGTTGTTTACCTTGTGGCATAAAAAAGGGCATATAGAATCAGCCTGATGAAGCACAGCGTATAATCACTTAAAAACTATGAACATCACTCAGATAGGGTTGTAACTAATAAAAAAATCAGATCATAAAAGAGCGAATTCTTACCATGAGCAATGCAAGTAAACATATCATCATTCTCTTCGGACATGTCCAGCGCATTATTCTGCTTTTTATCAGGATGAAATAGAAGAACTTTTTGGCGAACTAAAAAAACTTTATTAATGCAAATAACAGAATATATTCTAAAGTGCTAAGAAACTGTCTAACACATTTTATTTGATGTGGGCAGTTAGAATGAAAATTACGTCGAAGAAAACGAAGCGGAGCTGAGTCTGAAAACGAAGCTCTCAGTATTCAAGTCGATCTTTATTCTTAGGCTTACCTACGGGCATTAGTCGTGGACTATGACTGAAAAACTTTGATTCCGGGTATAAGCCGGTAAAATGGGCTTTCTTAGACGAGTCGCTGGTCCTACGCATCTTGACATTGTCCAAAATACTGACACCCGGAAGAGCCTTAGTGTACAGCCTTTGCTTCTCCAGATTGTGGAGTCACAGCTGCGATGGTCTGGGCATGTGTTGTGAATGCCTCCAGGAAAGAAGGCTAAGCAACTCTTCCTTGCGAAACCGAGCGGCACAAGGCCCAGGGGACGGCCAAGATTAACCTGGTGCAAATATATGGAAGGAGTGTTTTCGAGACTCCAGTTGTCTTCTGCAAAAGGTCAGACTCTGGAACAGGATCGGGAACATTTTAAGCACACTCTGACGCGTCTGCCTCCGCGACTCTAAAGGATAAGTGGTAACGATAGAAAATGATGATGGAAATAATTCAATACGTGAAGCTACAAAAGTTGCATTAACTTGCGAAATTACGAATTATTATAACAATTCTGGAGCTGTTCCCTGAATCAAGTATACCCGTTCCTCTGTTTCATGTTGACGACTGTTAGGTCCAACCGAATCTTGGACCTCCTTGTGTGACTTTTGTGCCGTCTATTTTTAAAATAATCTATTTTCTTTTGAGGTGTATAGTAAAGCAGTTTAAGACAATTAATTCATTTTTTGAAGGTGCGCGTGACGGCTATTAAAGCACACGGAGTGTCTTCCAAAGAAGTTTTAAGCGGAATGAAGCACTGATATGAACCAAAATTTGACACGTATTTATTGAAATAAATAAGTGTTCGATTGGAATGGAGTTCGTGACTAGGGTTGTGAGACGGATGTAGTTTTGTTGGATTGTTCAGGGGCAGGTAGAATAGATGTACGGAAGAGTATACTGATGAGCCCTAGGTAGAAGCATGGAGTAGAAGAAAGAGACTTAAGGTACTTATGAAGTTTACGGTCTAATTCAGATAACATTTTCCTTCAAGCTCATCAGGTATATGTCATATCCCTGCTGCTATCATTTCAGCCGGTGGAGAGATTTTCAAATGCTAAGTAACGTAGGAACAGTTATAGCTATAGATATAACAGCCATTACGCTGCCTAGAACATGACTGTGCTACCAGAGAAGATGATTCCGGTGATTGTGAGCAGTTTACAATAAAGCTCGTCACCCAAATGGGGGCATTATTGTACAAAGCTGGGCCCTTTCTGTAGGCGGTTCTTTACCTTGAGATGCAGGATCATTGCAGATCTTGTGCTAGATTAGACAATAATCACGTACTCATCACTTCGTCTAACTGTAATCAAAGAGAATCATGCATTTATTTTCATAATCTATGCATGAAATTTACGTTTAGCCAAGAGCCTTTTTCCGCTTGAACGTTCTTTGACGTACACAACATATACTTCACAACAGTAGTTAGTTTACATAGAATAACTGAAAAGACAAGAGTAATTAAAACAACTCAATCAGAAGGTAGTATTAAACAAACACTTTTGTCTAGTCTGTGAGACAGCGTACGAATGTCGGTTCAACACTACTGGTTTTTGATACTGTTCAAATGCAGTATCTTAAAGGATTTTCAGTATGCTAATCGAGCGACGGGATTTTCATTACAGCGCATATACTGAATCAAACTATGCATTCTTAATGAATAAAAGGAGTATGCCTTGATCAAAACTGGATTAGGATATGATCAAAGCAACTTTTCAGAAAAATGAACATTGCATCTATTGATTACTCATTTAATTTCAGCCTCTTCTGCACTACTTTTTAGCAAATCACAAACGGGAAAACAACGCAAAAAATCTATAATTATAAACATTCTACAGGGAATATTGAAGCTTCGGATCAAACTCGGTTTGTCTGCAGAGATAATGAGGTATTACAATGAGTCATTTTCATGCGGTTAGGATGGAATGATGCTGTGTAAAATTCATTATTACTCTGAAAGGGTTTGGTCCGAAATGTCCGTATTTTCTATAGAATGATTGTCATTAAAGATTTTATGCGTTGTTATCCCGTTCGTGACTTGCCGAAATACCCTGAGATCAACATAGAGAACTCATGCAGTATTTTCAGAGCCCTTCTTCACCTTGTGGAAAACAGAGGCAACAGTCAAACTATGGGGGCGAATCGTATAGCGAAAGTAGATAGGGTGCATTGTTCCTAGCTACGACAGTAATTCCTCTGCAATGACATTATAAACAGTTGTCTTGAATGAGAAAACTATGAGAGATAATTGTTTTTCAGATTGGCGACAAATCGATGTAGACCTCCATACCTGCACGACAGTAATTACATACACTAATAGATTCCAATTAACGATAAGTGATAACAGAAAACTCACAGCAAACTAACGCCTTTATGGCAAACCCGTCGTAAAGAATGACAATGACTAAATACAGAAAGGATTTACTGAAGGACGTCACGTGTCCTGATTCCTAATGAGCTTCATGAAATGCTGCAAAACATCTACTTTTTGAAAGTGGTAAATTTAAGAAAGGGGCTGCAGCGTTGTTGAACTTGAACCGATAGAAAGTTATTCAGATCATCACAAATTCCTACCGTGACATCTACAAAATGTGATTGGTAAAAATTTATATTGATCTTCCTCCGTAGTTGAAGCAGTCTAAATAATTTATTAGAAAAAAATCGACACTTACAGCTAGCTTTTATATGTGCAGGAGTGGCATTATGACGAAGGCGCGAGAGCCCTAGAATTCGATAATGGTCGTGCTCCTTCCAGTGCTTAGGGTCCAGGCCTTTTACGTACGTAAGATAACGGTCATCAACTGGATCGAGTACATTCGCAATGTTTTCACAGACCTCGTCGCATCCTTCTTGAGGGAGGGAAGCAATCTCGTAACGCCAGAAGTCAGCGATCTCGATGGAGTCAAAGCCATAATTTAATTTGTCACGAACCAGATTCACCTGATACGAAATGCCAGCCGGCTCTGGACGCCAGCGCCTCTCACCTAAAAAAGTAGATATCAAAGCGACAGAACAGTAAGGCCACGTGTCTTCTAAATGAACGGAAACAAAAAATTTAGCATTCAACATTAGATGTGCCCAAAAATGCAGTAGCTGTTCTGCGTTAGTAATTATGTTGAAACGATAGCACTAAAACACTTAGCATAAACAATGAAAATTGGGGGCTATCAAGTCATAAGCAAACACCGACGTTTCGGCCCGTCTTAACAGCCTATTTGCACTATGCAATGAACAAATCCTCATCAGTTGCGCCGCCCGAAAACTCGCAGTATGGACTAA